TAAAAAGATAGAACACATTTGTATGTCTAATTTTCTATAATAGAAAATAAATTTTTTTATGTTTCTGAAATATTGGTATTTTATTTTAGAGTTTTTTTAGAGAAGATTTACATCATGAAAAATAAGGTATATAATATATAATTTGATGTGAAGAAAATGTTGTTTGTTTGGGGGGTCAGCAGTTCTCAGTTTCCAAATCAAGAGTCATTTTAGTACGGAGCCTTGACGCCGACTGTTCGGGAACCATAGCCGGAAGCTGGTTTCTGACCAACATTTTGGGGGATGGATGTGATTGGACGCACTGCACCAATACCAGCGGATGGGCCACGTCTTGCGGCATCTCCAGCATAGGTTGGTCGGCGTTTGATAGGTGCAGATGCACCAGGTCCAAAAGCAACAAGACGCTGGACAACTGGGCGTTTACCTCCGAGGGATGGAGCTCAAATGACAGTTGGCTGCTGTATCGATGGAGCAGCGACAATAGGACGATAAGAAGATTGACGTTTGCCACCCACATTGGCTGGAATTTGATTACCACTGGGGCGTGGAGCAGCTGGGACTGAATCAAGGGGTGCAGAAACCACTGGACCAACGGCAGATGGACGGCTGCCTGTACCCTTAGCTGGCAGCTTTGATGGTCCCGAAACAGCAGGTCCCGACACGACGGGTGGGCGTAAAGGCGGAACAGCAACACCTTGGCTAGCTGGACGTCCTTCCACTGGTGGTAGGTAGGATGATGATGACGGCAAGGCCATGATACCGTAGGCCAGGCAATTCAACAGGATAACGAAAGTAGCTGCCATTTTAGTACTGGGAAACAAGCAGATATTTGTATTGTTGGAAAATTTGTTTGCTGGCAACTGATATTTATTCTGATCAGACTGGACGCTTTTATAGATCCGACTCCTGAAAACTTAACCCCAAGTGCATTAATATTTTAATAAGTCTGATCAAATTAGGCTGTGCTAATTGATCTTTTAAGCTCATTAGGGCAGTAATTAGCTAACTACAGGAGTTACGCTTTGAACGAAATGAATCATGCATTTCCAGCAGGTACAGCTTAACAATTGGAAATAAAATCGATTTCTATTCTATTCATGAATTTACTATGTCTTCTTCTATAACTTTATTCTCAATAAAATAATAAATATAATATTAGTTTTAATATTAACAACATTTCAAAAATAACAATTAAGTGTACTAAAATGTTGTTTAAATATCTTTATTTAATTGGTTGGTAAATTATAAATGTTTTCGTTTTCAAGTTTAGTAGAGTCAAAGGCTCGGAAGGTCTGAATGAGATTTAGTAAGGAGCCTTGGAGTTCACAGTACGAGAGCCGCTAGGAGAACGTGCATCGGAGTTAGGCCTTTCGGTGGTTCCGGCAAAAAATGGTCGCTGTGGAACCGGTGCAGGCGCGACAGGTGCGGAAACAATAAGTCGCTGGGAAACTGGGCGTGTACCCCAGATTGGGCTTGCTGGCAATATAGAACCCGGACCCACTGAAGGTAAGTAGACACCAGAATGTGGAAGCGCAAGACTGCCGTATATCAAGCAACTCAGAATGATAACTAAAGTGAAATTCATTTTTATCATCAGGAAAGAAATAGTTATTTGAATAAATAATAAAAATGTTGCTTATTGGTAACTGAAACTAATTCTGATCAAACTGGACGCTTTTATAGATCCAGCTCTAAAAATTAGAAAAATTCATTTATGATTTAATCAATTACACAAAAAAAAGATTACAGCTTGATACACTTAACAATAATTTATAGGGACTCATTACTTGACACGCCCCAGTTTTAAATAAGGGTAACCTCACTTTCGTGGCTTCACCCTTATATTGCTCGAAAGTACAAGGTAATATGAAGTAATGAACTACAGGTGTTAATTAAAAATAAATCTTATAATTTAAAAATCTTGATTAAAAAGCTTGAAACAAAAAAAACCACGTATAAGTGCAAATAATATTTTGATCTATATAAATATTTAATATTAAAAAGCTTTTGGGTATTTAACGTGCATTTTAACACTCGTTAACGGAGTCAAATGAGCATATTGGCTGGACCATTTTCTTGGCAGAGACTTAAGCCAGAATATAATAATAAATTATCTTATATATATATTATATTAAAATATATGAATCGAATCAATTATTTCTCTCATTTACAGTTTGAACATCCAAGCACTTGAGATAGGTTTGTGTCCTTTAAATATTGAGTCAAAAAAAGACAATTTTAAAATAAAATTAACTTTTTTACAGCACGAATTAGTATTGCGCCCAAAGAAATACTTCTATATTTGTTTAATTGCATTGAATACGTCCACAATATATTGTTTCAATCACTGAAATGCACAACTTTTAAGTCTAGAATTAGCAATGATTTGGTATTGTGACAGTTAGACAATGGAAGTGACTTAAGTGGTGACCGCAGTTTTGAAGCTGTGGATTTATTCATTTTGTAAATTTGCAAAGATATTTTTCTCAATTCTAGAATAGAATAAGTGTACACAGCTTAATTTTTGATAGAATATTGAATCTATCTATATAAATTAATGTTTATGACTTATAAAGCATCAATCGTCAAAAAATCTGTATTCAAATATAAGACTAATCAGTGTCTGTGCTCCTAGAATTCCGTATCATAACTTACTTACATTTTGGATTCAGAACAAATAATAAAATAAGAAATAAGTAAACATTTTAAATGTTTCTGTAAATATTAGTTTATATTCGTATTTTCATGCAATTGATACGTAAATTATACAATAATCGTTTTCATCATATGTTTCGAGGGTCACAAGTTCGGGATTTAGGAGCTGATCATGTATTTATCTGATGTAATGAAATTTAGTAAGGAGCGTTAACGCCGACAGTACGAGGGCCGTAGCCGCTCTTAGATCCAGTGGGGATTGGCCTTGGGGCTGGTCGCTGTGGAGCAGGAGCAGGGACAGCAGGTACGGGAACAACAGGACGCTGGACATCTGGCTGCTGCACAACAGGACGATAAGCAGATGGACGTTTTCCAATAGGGCGTGGTACAGCCGGTGCAGGCACAGCAGGTCCTGGAGCTACAGGTGCTGGAACAGATGGGCGTCTGCCCACTCCCTTAGCTGGTGGCAAATAGGATGGTGAAGGTTGGTTAACTGCTGGAACTTGGACAGTTGGGCGTACGGCAGGCGAACTTCCAGGCGGCAAGTAAGATGATGATGGAGGAACGGCTACAATGCCGTATGCAAGGCAGCTCAACAGGATAACGAGAGTGGCGGCCATTGTTAAATATTCTGTCTGTGTCTACGGTTGAATTGTTGCTTGCGGACAACTGATGTCTTTGTTGAGAAATCACGTCGTATTTATAATTCCAAGTCCCTCAGAAACATTTGATCAAGGCACTCCATTAAGATTTTAATCGCCAGCTAAACACAAAACAATAAAGCAAAGCTAAATACTTGATAAAGACTTCAGTCTAATAACCTGATTATGGATACAGAGTTTACAGTTTGGACTTGCTCCAGTTTTGAACGGTGGTTGACCTCTGAACTTTAGAATAATAAATGCAATCAAATTAGAGATTGGCAATTGGCTTACAGAGAGTGGCCGTCTTTACCAAATGAGTTTTAAGACTTTGTTTTTTTAGGATAAGAAAATTTTTAATTTAAGAAAATTATATTTTCATTAATTTACTAATCACAGGTCCAATGCTGAACTTTTAACTATTCTATGCTAGTTGGCTACCTAGGCAGTGGCTGATTCTTCACGCCTTTACATTTTCCACAAACTTTATTGATTTCCACATGTAGTGTCCTGGCTAGGATTTTATTGTGTTTCAATATTCTACCGCCTGTTTAAATATTTTGTTTTTTTTTTTGTTTTCAGTAGCTTTTGTGGAACCTTCTTGCAAAAATTCGGTTTTCATCCCAGACTCGGAGTTTAATGGGCTAGATGCTTATCTCTTTGGGATCATTCATCTTGGTCGCTATGGCCAACAATTTCCAAGCTATTCCTATTGCATTTATCGCTCTTTCCGCTCTTGTGTAGGGTCTCAGCCCATGCAAGTCATTGTTGACATTATTTAGTTTATATTTTAGCGGTGGAAATGGTTCCTATGAGCGCTCTTTTCGGTTTTGTGTTTATTCGAAAGTTCTGAAGACTTTCTCATATTCTAAAATGTCAAAAAATGTGAGTTTAATTCTGAAAGTTGCATTCGGTTCTTAATAATCAAATTCAGGATATGAGCATTAACCTGTTGGTTTAGTATTATGACTTCATTTTATTTTTCTTAATTTTTAACACATCTCAAAAACCGTACTACGAGTATGCTGTTAAAAAATTTGAATATCAATTATTTATTACTATCATCCCTAGCAGTATATATTGTTGTGCAACTGTTAAAGAGTTTTTCTTACACAGCATTTTAAAAATTTTATTTCAAGTCTCTCTACACATGTCAACCAGCTTTGGATTTCAGAGAGCCCAGCATGTAATGGGAAAACTATATCTTTCACACTTTAACTGCTAGGATTACCAACTACTTTAGATAGATTTCTAGCCTTTAAATATTGAGTAAAAACATTCTTGTTTTGGAATAAAAAATAAATACAAAAAAGCAAATTATTTTGACTGTTTAGCAAACACAGAAGTGGGAATGTCTTAAGTCGAGATAATTTTAGCCTTAAATCTGTGAATATATTGCTTTGGAAATTGACAATATGTATTTCTTGATTCTAGACAGAATAATTTAATAGCTTCAGCTTCTAGCGGTGAAAAGCATATTACAAGAATTTACAAACTTTCCAAAAGCTGCAGTCAAATATGAGACCACTCAGTGTCTGCGTTCCTAGAATTCCGTATCATAACTTACTTACATTTTGGATTCACAACAAATAATAAAATAAGAAATAAGTAATCGTTTTCAAGGTTTCTGTAGATATATATTTATTTTATTATTTTTATACAATTAATTCATTATAATATATAATCGTTTTCAACTATGTCGAGGTTCACAGGTTCGGGTTTCAGGAGCTGATCATGTATTTATCTGATGTAATGAAATTTAGTAAGGAGCGTTAGCGCCGACAGTACGAGGGCCGTAGCCGCTCTTAGATCCAGTGGGGATTGGCCTTGGGGCTGGTCGCTGTGGAGCAGGAGCAGGGACAGCAGGTACGGGAACAACAGGACGCTGGACAGCTGGCTGCTGCACAACAGGACGATAAGCAGATGGACGTTTTCCAATAGGGCGTGGTACAGCCGGTGCAGGCACAGCAGGTCCTGGAGCTACAGGGGCTGGAACAGATGGGCGTCTGCCAACTCCCTTAGCTGGTGGCAAATAGGATGGTGATGGTTGGTTAACTGCTGGAACTTGGACAGTTGGGCGTACGGCAGGCGAACTTCCAGGCGGCAAGTAAGATGATGATGGAGGAACGGCTACAATGCCGTATGCAAGGCAGCTCAACAGGATAACGAGAGTGGCGGCCATTGTTACAGATTCTGTCTGTGTTTACGGTTTAATTGTTGCTTGCGGACAACTGATGTCTTTGTTGAGAAATCACGTCGTATTTATAATTCCAAATCCCTTAGAAACTTTTGATAAATGCACTCCATTTAGATTTTAATCTGCCCCTATACACAAAACAGTTAACTGAACTTTAGAATAATAAATGCAATCAAATTTTAGATTGCAACTGAAAATACAAAGTATGTAAGTGGTAATACAGGTAATTGGCTTACAGTGCCTGACTGACTTTACAAAATAAGTTGTAAGACTTGGGTTTTTAGGTCAGAAAAACTTTATAAGAATATAAACAATATTTTCCGAAGATTGTCTTATTTAATTCTGAAAGTTCTATTTTGCATTGCTTAAGCTTCAGTTTTGGTGGGGATTAGCTGAGAAGGATTCTTGCTAATCTAAGGCATGATGTGAGCATTAGCTTGTGGGATGGTAGTGTAACTTACAATGATTTATATTTATATATATATATATTTATATGGGCTCCCTAATTCTATTCTAATGGTTGTACTTCTGTTTCTGGCTAGTGTTTCTTTTCTGAATTTCGGGGTAAGTCTTGATCCTAATCTTTTGTTTTTTTTTTTCAAAGACGAAATCTCCAACACAATATTCTTTTATAACCTGGTCTATGGGGCTCTTGTTGAAATGTAGAGCTTTCTGATTACATTTGAATACTGAAAGCTGGTCGCACATAGACTAACGTCTTGCGTCTTGTTCATATTCCGAATGTATTCTTGAATCTTATTACGTTAGATGCAGCCGCTGTAAAGCAAACGCAAACTAAACACTTCTTTCTAGTATGCTCTTTTGTTATTTATTAGTTGTCTATGGTAAGAGAGATTGAATCCATATAATTCGTCATTATCGGTTAACAAGCAAATTAGGGTTTTTAAATATGTTAATAGTAAATATGTTAATATTAATACCTTTTTAACTTGCCATCGTGAGTTTTGTGGCTGAGTATAAACGTCAGCGCCTGATGATCAGGGTAAATAGATTTAACAGCTGCTTCTTATTCAAATAAGAATTTTTGTATTTTAACCGAATTATGTTACGCCTATGTTATGTTTTATGTAATTTACATATTGAGCAAGAAGTGGACAACAAGTTAAAATATAAAAAATTGTAAATGTCTAAGTTACAAAATAACAAATTAATTTCTTTCTGTACAATAATTGCTTCATTTTATTTATTTGCCGATGCGTGGAAATCAGCATAGTGCACAGTACCACAATAAATACTGGAAGATGCCTTCAGTTGTAGCAGCAATCAGTGCTGAACTTTATTTAATCACGGCGCTATTTAAACACTCATCTGCCTTGGATCATGGCTTGCGTCATCTTGCTACCCAGTGAGTAGTTGACATATCGGCAGCCTGGTCTGTGTGTAAATGGCTCCACTGGCAGCAACATCAACACGCGCCTATTGCCCGTGCTGTGACCGCACTTCATGTTGTTGAGAAGCTACCAAACGCATGTTTGATTCACTCAAATAAACTTCTATTGTTTGCCTAGTAATTATGTGAGCTCGCAATACTTCGACTGTTTGGCAAACACAGAAGTGGGAATGTCTTAAGTCGAGATAATTTCAGCCTATAATCTGTGGATACATTGCTTTGGAATTGACAGAATGTATTTCTTGATTATAGAACGAATAATTTAATAGCTTCAGCTTCTAGTGGTGAAAGCATATTACAAGGATTTACAATCATTCCAAAAGCTGCAGTCAAATATGAGACCACTCAGTGTCTGCGTTCCTAGAATTCCGTATCATAACTTACTTACATTTCGGATTCACAACAAATAATAAAATAAGAAGTAAACGTTTTCAAGGTTTCTGTAGATATATATTTATTTTATTATTTTTATGCAATTAATTCATTATAATATATAATCGTTTTCATCAACTATGTCGAGGTTCACAGGTTCGGGTTTCAGGAGCTGATCATGTATTTATCTGATGTAATGAAATTTAGTAAGGAGCGTTAGCGCCGACAGTACGAGGGCCGTAGCCGCTCTTAGAACCAGTGGGGATTGGCCTTGGGGCTGGTCGCTGTGGAGCAGGAGCAGGGACAGCAGGTACGGGAACAACAGGACGCTGGACAGCTGGCTGCTGCACAACAGGACGATAAGCAGATGGACGTTTTCCAATAGGGCGTGGTACAGCCGGTGCAGGCACAGCAGGTCCTGGAGCTACAGGGGCTGGAACAGATGGGCGTCTGCCCACTCCCTTAGCTGGTGGCAAATAGGATGGTGATGGTTGGTTAACTGCTGGAACTTGGACAGTTGGGCGTACGGCAGGCGAACTTCCAGGCGGCAAGTAAGATGATGATGGAGGAACGGCTACAATGCCGTATGCAAGGCAGCTCAACAGGATAACGAGAGTGGCGGACATTGTTAAAGATTCTGTCTGTGTTTACGGTTTAATTGTTGCTTGCGGACAACTGATGTCTTTGTTGAGAAATCACGTTGTATTTATAATTCCAAGTCCCTCAGAAACATTTGATCAAGGCACTCCATTAAGATTTTAATCGCCAGCTAAACACAAAACAATAAAGCAAAGCTAAATACTTGATAAAGACTTCAGTCTAATAACCTGATTATGGCTAATATTACAGAGTTTGGACTTGCTCCAGTTTTTAACGGTGGTTGATCTCTGAACCTAGAGCTTCGAGCCTGAACTTTAGAATAATAAATGCAATCCAATTATAGATTGCAACTAAAAATACAAAGTGTGTATGGCTGACTTTATCAAGTGGTTTTAAAATTAAGTTAAAAGCAATTGCTCTCTACAAAATATCAAACTTTAATAATGATTATTCATCCAGCTCAGCATTCCTTAATTTTTGCTCTGAGGGATACTCAACACATTCGCCTAGAGCGTAGTACGAATAGGCTGTGAAGAAATGTGAAGATTCATAGGTTATCACTGTCAATGATTCTGAACTGAATACTCACCCCTTTCCTTGGTGCACATATAATTGCGCATCTCGCACTCATTGCTAAAGGTGATGTATTCCTCCTGGAAGAACTGAGCGCAGACTGGAGCGAAGTCTTTCTTACACGGCCTCTCGCAAGTCTGCTTGCAGGTCTCTCGATCCGTTTCAACCAGCTCCGACTTGCCCTGATCACGGCGCGCACATTGCTCCACTTTCAGCAGACAGCTATTATGGAAAACATGGCAACGCTCTTCATCGGTCGCCCAGATATATTCCTTCTCCGCCGAGCATTTGTACTTCACGCTGCAGTCGAACAGGCTATGGCGCGCCTGAGTTTCCTCCAGCATGACTAGAAGTAGCGACAAGGCAATTGCCAATGCTAATTGATTTTTGCCGCTGTTCCGCATCTTTCCCTTTGGCTGTTTGCTTCGTAACTTGGCTATTTGAGCGGCATCGACACGTTTTTATATGACTCTGCATGAATTGACGTCACCTCGTGGGATTTTTGTTAGACCTCAGACCTCAGATAATGAACCTTATTTGCGTTTGTTTGTTTATGCAAGTACAATGGATATTATTTTTATCGCTTGATCGACAACTTTCAATTATTATTTATTAAAAATTGTATTTTTATTTGAATTAAACTCTTACTAATAATTACAAATTAAATTACCTCAATTAGTCTATTCAATTATATGGAATTTTCATTACCTTTTAAAAAGTTCATAATTTCTGTAGTTTAATAATATAATATATAATTTATATCTAATACAAATGAATCAGAATATTTCAGTTTTCTCAAACTCGTCAGTAGTGTTACTAGGGGATTTTTTTCTAACTTCAGAAAAGTTTTTGAATATAAAAAAACTTAATGAAAAGTAAAAAAAACTATGGACCTCGTTAGGTTATTAAACAGGTTTGATGATGCCTTCGAAACAAAGTATAAAACTAAATTAAGGTTTATTAATTATTGTTAACAAGTTTTAATTACTGTAAACATAAAATAAAAACATAAATTTCGCATTTGTAGCGGATGTTTTTTTTTAGAGTTATACTAGCTTAAACCATAATAAAATAAAGAAATATATTTGTAATATCAATGGAACGGGCTTTGTTGGATACAAAATCGTATGCTCTTAGTGTTTAAATATGATTTTGAACACGGTTGGCTCGTACAAGGCTCAATCTGGAAGAGCAATTTTCAGAATCATCACAATCATGACTTTTCTCGCTATAGAAGGCTTATGGATCAATGACGAACCGACGACCAAAATACAAATGCAAATTTCAACAATCTGCAATCTTTAATCGAATGGAAGTCTATTCATAATTAAAAGCCAAACCTGACTCAACAAAAGGAAATTGTCAACTGTTAAACGAGTTTTTAAGTATTCAGTTATAAAACTAAAAAAAACACAATTTATATAATATCAAAGTTGTCTAAATAGTTCCTGCAAAATGTTAATTATACAAAATTGATTTCACTTTGTGGAGTTCAATATATTAAAATTCAATATATTGACTGTTCTTGAGCTATTGATACAATCTGTAAAGCTGATTATTCAATTACTAGTCAGCTTTACAGATTGTATCAATAAAAATGATTCATACGAGTTCATAGCAACTCACAATAGCTAAATAGTTCAACTACTAGCCAAGCACTCAGACTAAAACATTCAGATTTCTAAACATTGATTTCGCTGGCAGTTCGTCTTATCACACTATATAATATATAAGCAGGGTTATCTGTTTGGAGATAAGCTGCCTAATTTTATTTGCAATTAGCTTTAAAAGCCTGTTTTAAAAAGTTAAAATTCACAATCAAATATATCTATATATATATCAACGCAAACAAATTACCAACAGTTTTAGGTCTCTTTAAAATATTAAAGTAAATTATCAGATTTAATATATGAACCAAAATTCACATAAATATGTTAAGGTCAAGGCAGAGTTATTTTAGTTGTATATTTTGAGTGTATTAATTTCATTCTTAAAATATCTTCGAATGCTACGTTCCTCATAATACAATGGTACTGCAAAATCCTATAGTTGAGTCATATGAGTACGAGATGTAATTGTATATTTAATTCCATTTAACTTAAGTTTCCATGGACTTAGTCCAAAAAGGCTGTAAAAATAAACAAGATATAATTTAGACCTATGGTCACCATATAGACATTTTACTCACTTTCACCAGTTAGACAGGTGTGCACAATCTTTTCGCAGGCATTTGAAAAGTTTCTTAGTTCGCCTTTATAGATGCCTCCAACTGGCTGATAAACTTGTGGACAGATAGTGGGGCAGAGCTTCTGGCACTCCTCCTTGGTCGTAATGGTCAGTGCTAACAATCAAATTTGGGTTTAAATAAATATTGATTCAATTTAATGAGCAAGTTCTGTTGCTTACGCGGCTTCCTGTGACCGTTCTCCTTATCAAAGTAACACTTATTACGGAAAACTTTGCAGCCGTGACCTACTGCCCACACAACATCCTCAGTGTCGGGACAATCAGTCGAGATGCCGGCGTGGACGTGGGCTAAGGCTATGCCAAGCACTAAACAAACAGAGAAAACCAGCTTCATTTGAAATACTAAATCGACTACTGCCCGTTGCTCTATGTAATGGGTATATATAGCTGATTCTCAAAATGAAACTAACTTGAGTATTTGAACATTTGTGTATTAGTATGTATGTTTATGAAAATGCTAATAGGGTGAGGCAATGGGTCGGCCGAGATTGAAGAGCAGCTGATAAAATAAACAGATTTCGTTCTCTCTAAAAAAACACATGTTGTTCATAGAGCGAGTACTCTCCATCTGTATACAAGTTCAGATTTTAGTCATTTGTTTATTAAATATTACGTAAGTATAGATACTACATTGATAACTCTAACCGCCGCATTAGGTATTCCGTACACTAATTGGATACGTTTCTAATTTAAACTTCTATTAAGTAAATCCCCAGCTGCAAACGAAATCATATCTCATTAACATATATATATATATATATATATATATATATATATATATACATATATATACATATATATATATATAGTAGAAATTAAGATTCGGTCTCTGTTTGCATATGTATAATAATATTAATATGTTATACCAAATGTTTCCCTATGAATATTTTAAGCTTTCTTTTAATTCTTATGCTAATTCTCGTTTGAGACTGCATCGGCTAATCCTACACGTTTAGCGTCCGCATCATAGACGGTATAAATGCGCGTCAAGAATATATCTCCCAGCACCCAGAAGCTCTCGTAAATTGGTAAAAATCCACCTACACAGATCGTTGTATTAGAAGTTTCTAGTTTAACCACATAGTCTGCGGGGGTGAAAGTAAACTTCTTCTCCCCGATATGGAAGTGAATATCTTGCAGATTCTCGCCCTGACAGCTAATTCCACTCGTTCCATTTTCAATTAGGGCCCCCATCGCTGTCTGCAACTCGTCAAAGATGTCAATGGGCATCAGAATAAGTGAAGTGCCCGTGTCCAAAATAACTTCAATCTTCTTAGCAATTTGCCTATTACCTACAGACACGCTAGACATCTCGAATTGCCAGTAGCCGACCCTGGACAGTGGCACATAGTGCACGTCGCCCGTATAGCGGGATTCGTCTATGCCACCGAATGTGATTTCGCCGCCATACAACTCGCCAGGCATGCGTCGCAGATAGACTGAGAACAGGCACTGCTGGAACAGATGCTGCTGGCAGAACAGCTCAAGGAAGGGAGTCGTATTACGCCAGCCAATTTGGCTGAAGCCCAGGCCCACAATGCCGTCAAAGGTCGTCGTGATGAAGGCTGGCTGATAATGGGACAACGTCTCTCCGAAGGTCAGGCCGGGCACAACTGCATCAGCTATGCGTATCGTGTCCTGCGACAGATAACCGCTCACATGGCCATTGCCATAGGCCAGCGAAAAGTTGTGACCATTTTGCACATAGCTCTTCGACTTGTGCGCCTTGTACCGACTGTGCAGCTGGCAGGCGGCATTGCTCACAGGGCAATTGCTGGAAGGCAGCCACGTGTTGGCCGAGCCGGTGTCAAAGATCACCCTGAACAATTGCGGCGGCGTGCCCATGCTTATGCGTCCGTAATACTCCATATTCATTTTATTATCCAGCGTTAACTTCAGCGTCTCAGTCGCGAGAAAGCTATGAAATTGCTGACTAGCCAAAGGCTTAGACTGCACTTCCAAGGGCACTCGGAGCATCAGTGACTTGGCCAATGGACAGACATATAAATGCAGTACGGAAAGAATCATTAGCCGCGTTTGTAACATCTTCGATGGAGTTTATCAGAGAACTGAGGCTTCCAGCTGGGGCTGTTGCTTGTTGCCTTACATCTGTTGGTTGTAATAAGCCCATTATTATATAAAAAATATTATATTTATTAGCTGTAAAGTATTGAGGGAAATAACGGGACAAGCTTTTGCAGAAGAAATAAGTCTAGAAATTGAAATCTGAATATTCCCATTTTCTAATCAGATAATTTGAAGCAAGGTTGCAGGTTCTTAGCATTTGTATTTTACGACTCGATGTAAGCATAATAATCGTTCATCAAAAATAAATGTAATACATCATTATTAAATTGTATAATCAAATCTAGTTCGCCAGGGCCCTACAATATGGTGAAAGTCCACTACAATTCGAGGTTTCGCGCCAGTCTGTAAAGAAAATAAAGTATATTAATTTATTTGAGAAAAACTGCAAGCAAACCTGAAAACAATATAGAATTATTTGTGTGTGTGTGTCCAACTATATTTATATTATGAAGTGTGTCCAACTATATTTATATTATTCATGCGAACGGACGGACTGCAAAACTGTCTAATGTACAGTCTTAGCATCGTTCCATTATACTATATACAATAAATATACAATTGACTTACTAATTCCATATTTGCAGGCACTAACACCCAGCCGACAACTGTTTGAGAACTGGCATCGCACCAGTCTTCCTTTGATATTAGCCTCGCCACAGACAGGACTGAACACCGCAGGACATATTGAAGGACATTCATAGATGGCCAAGATTTGTGCACAGCAAAGCAGCAAACTGATTAATGCCAAACAGAACTTCATTGTGATGAGAAAATTAAAACAGAATATTTGGCATTCATATCATCCACAAGCTTTTATAGCGGCTGCTTGGCATTTGGCGAAACTGGTTCTCTCTCTGAGAACCTCTGAGAAGAAAGCAAAACAATTGCTTTCTGAGCAAATGTGAATTAAAAATAATAAAAAGTGAAGTCCCAATTCGTATATTGTCAACATCAGATAAACAAATACACTATGATTTCTGCGAACAATCATTTCCAGGTACATATTACACCTGACTTACACGATAATCAGACTAGTGTGAACTTAAAGCGAACTATTGAATGACTCGCGTTAGAACGTGATCATCAATCATGGCTGGACTTAAGTAACACATTTGTTTGAGCTAACAGAATTATGAAATTCATTTTGTGCCACGAATCGATTCGCTACAAACCAATTGAGTATGGCAATAGGTCGACAATTGTTCAGTTCGCCGCTCTAGCTATGCGTGACAGGTGGATATGGACCGTCTTGTTGCTTGTAGAGCTGTCTGGCAGCTATTACATACGCGAGCATGTGTCTATGGGCGGATTTGGCATTAGAGTGCATTATCATAGAAATCCTTGTTGTTTGAATAATTTCGTGTGCCCCAGTAATTGTAATAAACCCAAGCCAACCACGACCTGCAAGCCAACTAGGACACCCAGGCCAACCACGTCTTGCAAACCAACTAGGACACCCAGGCCAACTACTTCTTGCAAACCAACTAGGACACCAAGGCCAACCACGACTTGCAAGCCAACCACGACTTGCAAGCCAACCACGACTTGCAAGCCAACCACGACATGCAAGCCAACCACGACTTGCAAGCCAACCACGACCTGCAAACCAAACACGACTCCGAAGCCAACCAAGCCATGCAAAACAACCACGACTCCGAAGCCAACCAAGCCATGCAAAACAACCACGACTTGCAAACCAACCACGACTTGCAAGCCAACCACGACTTGCAAACCAAACACGACTCCGAAGCCAACCAAGCCACCATGTTCCCAGTCCTGTGCACCATAACACCCAACTCATACAATCTGAACATTCGTTAATATCAATCGTAATGTGAATGATGACTGATGATATACTAAATACAAGCAAAAATCAATGCAACAGCGGAAGGAACAGCATAAAAGATTTTACCCACGCTTAAATCGAAGCACAGAACATCATATGAAAGTAGTCTTTGTGCGTCGACCTGCACAGGTCAAGACTAACTATGTAATACCCAAGCCCAGATAAACGCAGTTCTGAAACCGCAATAAAGCGTTTGGCACATATTGCCATAAATCATAAGTAGATAAGTGCAACTCTTCTTTATTTAATATGACTTTATTATAAATTGTAAAAGCGATTCATTAGCTTAACTTTAGACAGTCAAGTGCTTCAAGCGTATTCAATTTATGGCCAAATGAAAGATTTCGATTTCAAAAGAGACGAAAGAAACAAAGTTAACAAATAAGAGACGTAAGTTTCCGACCAGATGATACCCTAAGCCACGTTCACGGTGGGAATAGAGTATATTCTGTGCAATATCTGTCTTCCACCTGTCTTACTTCAAATTTGAAGCATATACTCATTGAATCTGTCATAATAAGATGTTGGGAGCGTGTCAAATCAGTGATTAACGATGTTATCTTTGGGCTCGTGGCAAAGCGGTTACAGTTTTATAGCTAGGAGTTATGTTAGTATGGAACCTCTCTTGAGATTGAACAATCATTATACATACATGCCTGATCAGGCAATGCAATTCAGTTAATGCCATATCTTTCTCAGTTAAAGGATTAATATTGCCCATTTGCGCATGTTTTTGAATGATGAGCAGTTCTTACGATTCCATTTCTTAATTTATAATAATTTATAATAAAATATTCCAAGCTTTATTATTGTATAACCAATCAAATATGGTTTGTGATATCCGATCTTAAAGAGTGCGATATAAACTAAATGTTAATATCGATTTCATGGGAATGTTAAAAGTTTTCGAGGATTTAAAACATATTTAATCTACTCGTATATACATCTATATATATATACATAAGTATGATAACGATATACCCGGTTCAGGGTATACAACACGCATAACAACATCTCCACGTGTCTGACTTTAAAAAGCAACTCCAGTCCGGTCCAGTCGTTGTAGCGTGATGTGTAAACCGAAAACCAGGCGCCTGGTGTTTTGGCCATTAAAATAATATGTGGTAAATTAAAATTTCATGGCAAATTATTTAAAAATGAATTCAAAAATGCCTGTAAGACTGTTATTGAACTTTGTGTTGGGGCAGTTGTGATGATTCATCTGTTGCTGTTTGTACCTCGTGACTTCATAAATTGAAGTGCAAAAAGATAATTGAAATGAATTTTGCGAAACACGATTAAACACACATTTTTGAGTGCTAATAAAAAGAGGTCCTACTAAACGAATTAATTATTAATAATTAAAAATAATTAATCTGACATTTGATGGAAATTCATTTTTGTATTCGTTCATGGAGGTAAAAGAGTATATTAGCTTGTCCTTTTCAGTGTTGCCTTGGAATATAGACTCAAGTGTACCCTAGTCTTAAAGAAAGAAGGGGGTAAAAATGAATATTAATATATAAATAAATTGTATAAAATTGATTTAAAATATATTTTTTTGTATTGTATTATCAACGGAAATGCGAGATTTGGGATGGGCAAAAAACAAATCAATCTAGCTTGAGATATGCAAGTGAATCACTCCTGACTTAACCAGCGATCAATTATATAAGTTATACGGTATTTACTGAATATATTTACTGAATATATCTACGCCCATTAAAGACATAGAAATTTTGGTAGAACTTAAAATCTTTTGAACCGTGAATGAGTATTAAGCAGTCGCTAGTAGCCGACAATATTCTTATTTGTACATATTTTATATATATATTATTTTTATTTTTTCCAAAGATCAAGCATAGGTTAGGTTGCTTATATGTATACTAACTGATCTGGATAATAATCAAATATTGACTATTTAGTTTTGAGTATCTTAAAAAATAAACAAGAACAGCTGCTACTTTTATATAAATATTATAAGATTTGGTACATTTACTTTGTGTACTATTACTAAATGGAATTCTGAATTCTTGTTGTGCCTTTTGCTTATGTACTTAGCTTTGTACACGTACGTGTATTGCAATTTGCACAACTGAAATGAAATACAAAAATGTATAAAATAATAAAAGCACATATCATGAGTACTGTTATTAATTAAACAAAGCAATTGATAACAGCTGAAAAACAAATCGGTATAAATGGGGGCTTAGATGACTCAAACTTTTAGTTCCCCAACTGCAACATGAGTAAACTGTCGGTCTCTGTCGCACTGTGCGCCGTATTGGTCTGCCTGAGCTCGGCCCAGACGCGGAACTGTCCTCGGAAATGCAACGTGTACGCTCGATGTTCGCCCTATCATAAGGATCTGGTGTGGAGCATTGTCGATGGCACTTGCCGAGTCTTTCAAAATGGCTGCCTTTTCGGATCGGAGAACTGCAATCGGGTGAACAGCTGCAAGCCGAGTTAGTTGCATATGCATTTCTGGAAATATAGCTATTTGACAACCTCTTTCTACCACTAGAAATGGTGAGCACAACTGCGGAGGCCTGCAAGAAGCGTTGCATCCAGATCTGCCCCTTCGGCGGCAGTGGAGTTTGTGCCTCATTCGCGGAAACTAACAAAGATGGCACCAATGTATGGAAGTACAAGACTTTCATCAATGGCTGTCTGCTGGCGCAATATGCCTGCGAAAACGGAATAGGTATGCAAATATCACATAATTATGCTTGATATACCAGGACTAGGTATGACATGATATTACCTTTGCAGCGTATATCGGCGAGCCCACTGAGGGCGAGTGCCCAGAATAACTAAGCTGAAATTGAAGTGAACCAAAGTACCGGAACTTTAATATGAAATTTCATCAGAAAGCCATACATATCTCACATGTGGCGAAGTGCGTAGCGATCTTTTGCTATTGACCCCAACAACTGTTGAGTATTTTTATAAATTTTATAAAAATATTGACATAATTTTTGAAAACAAATAAACACAGCAAAAATAAATGAAAAATCGAATTAATATTGAGTTTTAATGTCATTACAAAAATTGCACACAAGAAACAAGTCACAATGAAAACCGGACTAGCTCCTGGCTATAAGCTTATTTTGGGTTTATTGCTAGCTTCAATTGGCATTGTCTATGGACAGCTGTTCGCTTTGCAAGGTGCGTCAGTTTTTTGTCGGAAATAATATTAAATTTGTGAAAATAATTTACAAATTCTCCTTAGGGCCTAACAAGTGCCACGACGTTTGCCCCACAGGATACCGCGTGGTGTGTGCTCTGCATGAAGGCTGCCTGCGAACATTTGCCAGCAGTTGTGTGATGCGCATGTATAACTGCAAATATCAGAAGGGTAAGTGGATGCTCGTGCCGAAGTTGTGAGTGACAAACACTAAGAAGCTCTTCTCTCTCTTTCAGATTATCGAATAATATCTCAAAGAGCCTGCGAGTTCATAAGCAATGAAGACCTTCAAAAATTGGAGCTTTAGCGGCGACTGCGGGAACTACGGCAAGAGGCCACAGCGTCATTGTCGCTAGATGGCGCCACCGTGCAGCGCGCATGCGTTGCAATATATTTTTCAAAGTGGCTGCGGCATGGCAGCCGCCAGGATATACATATATCCTACCACTGCTGTTGCTGCTGTTTTATGTGTAACTTTCTCTCTGGCTAAACTGTTGTCTCGTCACGCCACAACTACGAAAAGCGTAAATTTTAATTTAATTTAAAAGCGCAACTTTGACCTGTTTTAAACACATACGTATACAATTGTGCTAATCTTTTTTCGTGATCTAAATTTATACAAAAACACGTTGAACGCGACTATTCAGTAAAATATCCTCTTATATTAACATAAGCACCATAGCGTAAGGACAAACAAATAAGTGTACATAATACGAATCGCAGACAACGACAGGAAAACTCACTTTAGGCAGGCAGCAATAGAGCCTGCAACACCAACACACACACACGCACACACAGCCACACATATGTACACACTCACAATCGAAGACGCTCTGTGAAGGCTCCAAAGATTTTACAGCCAATCGCGTGGCGATTTAATAACAGGTTAGTTGCCCAATTACTAATTGATTTGACATTTAACCATTTCAATGCTGTTTGGTTTCGCTTTCAAAGCCAAACAAATTGCGCATCAATTATAACATAATAATGACACTCATTCAATTGTTGCGGCTGTATGAGTGTGGATGGCCGCTGGCCACATTTCGAAGCATACATTTCAGCCCCATTGTTGCAGTTTGAACTATGCAAACATGTCTGCACACAGTGTCATGCATACGTACATGCAATATGCATGTGTTGGTGGAGTTTATATAGGAGCATTTATGTATATGTGTGTGCATGTGTGCTCATGTATGTACCAATACACACATGCCAGCATGCGAATATGTGCAAACAAACAATGTATGGGAATGCGTGTGTGTGTGACTGCCCGTGTCCGTGTGTGTCTAACGTGTATGTAAATGTGAGAGTGCGACCCTGCCACTGGATAACAATAGCCACACTTCAATGACCTAGACCTCGACCACGAGAGATTTAAATGCCGCCAAGTGGGAGAGTGCACTGCAGTTGGCCTCCCACAAGTTCTAGGTCGTAATTTAAACTGCGCAATTCCAATTATGTCCATGTTGGCGCGACAAAGTGCAAAATTCGAATTTCATATCTCATAAATCATATATTCTTTAAGTTAATGAACCATATCATATCTTTTACACTATGCTCGAACTCAATATCTTTTAAGTTCAATGCTTGAATTTGTAAACTCCTTTCAATCTATTTTTTGAATATAAGTTTTTGTTAAATTATTTTAGTTAAATAAAGTCGCGTTAAGTCTGGCACATTAAAATATGGACAGCGCCATCTATGTTTCATATCATATAGCACGCTCATTTGTAGGCTTTTTAATTTGTATCGCTGTTAAGAAAACTTTTTATCGACTCATTCTCGGCTCCCTGATGCAATTTTTTTTTTGTGGAAAAATAATCGTACTTGTTAAGTAACAGCTGATCTGTTATATTTCTGTAAAAGTATTTTTATTATTTATCTTAATTAACAATTGTGTAACATTCCATATTAATGAATATATATCTTGGTTTATCATCCTACTTACTTAACATATACCCATTAAAAATTTTTTTAATTGCGGGCATAGTGAACCTCAAGTAACGGAATTTTTACTAGGAGCAACTGTTCGCGCGCTGTTAATAACATTTTAGCAAATGTTTCATGTTTTTGAGTGGCCACATATGAAAAAACATTCGTTGCTCATTTGCGTTGTTCTTTGGTCGCTGCCGCAATTCTGATTTGTGCTAGTGGGCAAAAAAAAAAAAACAAAAGTTAAGCAAGTTAATTTAAAATATTATAAATGGCTGTTAACTAGAAACCGTAAGTGTTAGTGTTGCGGATGACCTGTGAGTGTGTGTGTGTGCATGTATGCGTGGAAGTGTGTTTGTATAGGAATTGTTTGTTAGAGATGAGCAATTTAAGTGATTTTGATTGTACTGTGATTTCGCGGGCAGTGTATGTGAATATCATATGAATATATAAATATCTCTGATAACACTGTAGGTAGATATGCTATCGCAAGATAAGAACTAAGCAGTAACTTGTTGCCATCGACTTGCTATCAGGTGTTTTATGTCTTTAGTGCAGATGTATGTATGTGCAGCCAATGAACCATTCACCCAGAAGTCACAGGTAATCATACATACATATATTACGCATCACTATTGTGCAGTTGCTTCGTTTCGTTTCCGCCACCCACAACAACAGCGCAGAGCTACGCTGCGAAATTTATGCGACGATAAGACAACAACAATATGAAGAAGACTGCTTAGTATAAAGAAGGAATAGCGCACAATGCCCCATAATTATCAGAGAAGATTGAAGAAGCAATAGCAATTTGTCATGAATCAGAAGCAGCCGCAGAATCATACTGAGAAGCTTACCCAGCCTTTTGTTATGTTTAGCTCGTTATCAAATAAGTTGCGAAAAAATTCCGCAATGTTCGCTAGCTATATAATATTTAAGTAAAATATTCTGACCTGCTTTACATACGCATGTACAGATACGAATTTATACACAGGCTTATGTACCCGGTTATGATTTATGCGAAATTTGATAGGTTCAAATTCGAATAATGCACAGAGCTGTGCGGGCTTTGCGGCCGGTCCCTCTTTGCATACGCCTGCTTGTGTGTGTGTGAATGTGCGTGTGCGTGTGAGTGTGTTGGTGGTCATGCGTGATACCATATAACGGTAATTTGTGGTTTCTCTTGCCATCGCACTCGTTATTGTTGGTGTTTTTATGTCCGCTCTTCACCTTTGGCATTGGTCTTCTAGGAATTGTCAGCTCCTCTGACCTTGACACTCAGCCAACCACATGGCCATTTATGCAGCATTTGTGTGGGCGGATGGGCGGTTGCAGTCCGCTCATGTGCGTTGATGTCACCCGTTTCTGAAGTTGGTGGTAGATGCACATAAATGATGTGTGGGCAGGCCAATAGGGATACAAATGCACCTAATTAATGAGCTGTAAACTTATTATGTCTGGTTAAACTAATAATAAAATGAAAATATCCAGATAAATAAAGCCCTTTGTTAAACACATATTGAGTATATACCAAGAGTGAAGGAAAGCATATATAAGTGTAGAATCCGGATTCATATAGGCAGCCTTATCGATGTGCCTAGGCGCCTCTATCAAGCTAGTCACTTTAATGTACCCGAAACATAATCAACTACGTTTGAAGTCTTTGCTATAAAAATAAAGTCTTTGCTATCTTTTGATGTAGAGATACTGCTCTCTTTTGTAATATGAACAGCTTATTAGTAAAAGACGTGCGTAACTATTCATCAGATATATAAAAGAAAACGGTGATTACAAATATATCATTTTATAGCCCTGTTTTGGCTTATATTTCATATTTAAGATAGAAAATCCCAGTGAAGATCGGTTATCTAACAACGATATTATCCATATTATATATTTTTGTCTAAGGAACAAGACAGTTCATGTGAGGGTTTTACTGCTTATCAGTACATATAGATGTTCAGGGTATCTCCTAGTCAAGTACTCCGGACTATGTCACTCTTACTTGTTGTTATTATCTACTATTAATATTAAAAGGATTTATAGTAAATTTAGTAAATATTAAAAAATCGTTTATATCGTAATTATATTATTATGATATATATAATTAAAATTATTATATATATAATTGTGAATTTCGAAGCGAGCGATTAGTGCACAAATGGGATGAGGTGAACGAATTGTTTCTGAGGTGACTGTTGACTTGATTATTGATTCGTGCGTAGAGTTTCAGCAAAGTTTATGGGCAACTTGTTGGAGCGCATGTTAATAAGGACCGAGAAACAAAAGCAAAAGTAATAAATTGCTTGGGTGGGTGTGGGGTGTGGCCTAGCGGGGGAAGGGAAGGCTTAGCCATTGGCGATGACGCACGGCTGTCTTGTATTTTTATTGGTTTTTATACGCCCGGTCTGACGCACAATTGATAAACTGCAACAATAAACGGCTTACGCTCTACACTTTACGGTTGTCTCATTGGTTCTCTTTATCTGAACGTTGCAGGGAAAAGCAACGAGTTCCACTGGCTGCGGCTGGAGCAATTGTTGTTGTCGCTTTGGCATACTTCTGGGCAACGTATTGTCGCCGGCGACCGCAAGACTGGGCAAAATTATGAACTTGTGCTCCTCGGCTGGTGCAACCGCATCGACTACATCGCTATCGTCCACAGGGCACGCGGAGAATAACGGGAGCAGTCCCTCTGAGGTTACACATTGTTTTGGCGGCGGCGGTGGTGGCGGCAGAGGAGGTGGGAATAGAGGCGGCGGCGGCAGCAGCTGCGGAGCAGACACAGCGCCTACTATTAGGAATAGGAGCACAGTAAACGGTGCCGGTGGCAATACAACAAACAGCAACGGACACAATTCGACATATAACGAAAACAACGCAAACATGCCGCCCGAGACGCGTCCCAAAATGGTGACGGTCAAGCATCCGGAATCAAACAAGCCCAAGCCCACCACAAAAAAGATTGTGAAAAATATTCAAGCGGATCAAGATGTTATCAAGGCATTGCAGCGTTGCCGCGACGAAGGTAAGTTGACAACTGCTGTACGGAATCGAGTTCTGATCTTTATTAATTTTCCGTTAGGCATCAAGCTCTTGGACTTGAGCAAATCGTCAATAACTGTCCTTCCACCTACGGTCAGGGAGTGCGTCCATCTCACCGAACTCTATCTGTACAGCAACAAAATTGGACAACTGCCTACGGAAATTGGATGCTTAGTTAATTTGCGTAATCTGGCCTTGAACGAGAACTCCTTGACATCACTGCCTGACTCTTTAAGGCATTGTACACAGCTCAAGGTGCTAGACTTACGCCACAACAAGCTGGCAGAAATACCGCCAGTTATTTATCAGCTGCGCTCTTTGACAACCCTTTATCTGCGCTTCAATCGAATCACTGCCGTGGCAGATGATCTGCGCCAGCTGGTCAACCTCACCATGCTCAGTCTGCGCGAGAACAAAATCAAGGAACTGGGCAGCGCGATCGGGTCGCTGGTGAATTTGACAACGCTGGATGTGTCGCACAATCATTTGGAGCACTTGCCGGACGACATAGGCAACTGTGTGAACCTAAATGCGCTCGACTTGCAGCACAACGAGCTACTGGACATACCGGACAGCATTGGAAATCTAAAGTCTCTAGTGCGTCTGGGCTTGCGCTACAATCGACTAAACTGCGTGCCCGTTTCGTTGAAGAACTGCAAGAGCATGGATGAGTTTAACGTAGAGGGCAACGGCATCACACTGCTGCCAGACGGCATGCTTGCTAGTTTAAGCGCGTTGACCACAATCACTTTGTCGCGTAATCAGTTCACCAGCTATCCAACTGGTGGGCCGGCGCAGTTTACCAATGTCTATAGCATCAATCTGGAGCACAATCGTATTGACAAGATACCGTATGGTATATTCTCGCGAGCCCAGGGGCTGACAAAGCTGAACATGAAGGAGAACATGCTAACTGCTTTGCCGCTGGATGTGGGCACCTGGGTAAACATGGTCGAGCTGAACTTGGCCACCAATGCTTTGCAGAAGCTGCCCGATGATATCATGAATCTGCAGAATTTGGAAATACTCATACTGTCCAACAACATGCTCAAGAAGATACCAAATACGATTGGCAACTTGCGCAAATTACGCATTCTAGATCTGGAGGAGAACCGCATCGAAGTGTTACCACACGAGATCGGTCTGCTGCATGAGCTGCAGCGGCTGATATTGCAAACTAATCAGATAACCATGCTGCCGCGTAGCATTGGCCATTTGAGCAATCTAACGCATCTTTCTGTTAGCGAAAACAATCTACAATTTTTGCCCGAAGAGATTGGTTCACTGGAGAGCCTGGAGAACCTCTATATCAATCAAAATCCAGGCTTGGAGAAGCTACCATTCGAATTGGCGCTGTGTCAAAATCTGAAGTATTTGAACATTGACAAATGCCCGTTAGGCACTATTCCACCCGAGATCCAAGCTGGCGGCCCATCGCTTGTGCTGCAATGGCTCAAGATGCACTCGCCCTATCGGCAAATGTGAGATGTGGACGGCGTCTGGCGCACCGTCTACGTAGGCAGCGACTGTTATTATCAGTACGAACTGCAGACGGAGCAACAGACGCAGGCTAAGCAGGCAGGTCGATCCAATGAGCGATCCAATGAACGGCGCTAACGGTGCGAGCTTTGCTAAGTTTAGCAATCTATGTTACCCCAACCCTGTTCATGCCTGTGGGCCATACCTCTTCCCGGCAAAAAAAAATAAATTAAATTAAAGATAACCCCCGACTGGAGTGCGTTGCCTGGCAAATGATAGCTTTAAAAATTGTTATACCAACGTCCCGCGTATTGTAAAACTGCCCCGATTTGCTTTTACCTTATGTTTAACTCTTAAGTTAACTTTCGAAATCTGACTTGGTCCTCAACATTTAGGTTTTAGTTGTATGCTTCCAAGCTAGTCATAAAAACTCACAAAAAAACGAAACTAAATCTAATTTAAGTTAGTTAAAGGATTATATCATTTCATGTTCGTTTGGTTCGATACTCGTTTAAAAACATTAAGGAAACTAACTGTCATAGAGGAAAGCTAAATCGAATGTTCAAAAACATACAAAATACGCAAGCGCCATGGAATTGTTTGAGAAAAATGAAAGAAATTAATTAAAACAAAAAAAGAATATATATATATATATATATATATATATATATATATATATATATATATATGTATATAACTATTAAAGTACTTTGTACACGAGTATAAAGCAAAATTAAAAGTATTAATAATTTGATTAAAATCAAAAGTTTTTTTGAGCGCTTCAAGCAAGACTATACAGATATGGTGCACCTCTATATGTATATGTATATATATATATATACATATATATATGTATATGTATATATTTGTGGATTTGCTTGTAGCGCATCATCTAAGTATATATAAAAGCACATGCATTAAAAGTATTTTAAACACTTGAATGTTAAATAATAAACAAAGCAAAAAGAAAAAACAGAAAAAAACATGTCAATGTGTGTGCGTGTATAAAAAAAATAATTGTTAAATTTGATTTCGTACATTTTTGTTACCAAAATAATAATGACATACAATTTTTGTATGGCAAACAAAGAAAAAACACATACTTGCAAGAGTATAATGCCACCTATTTGATAAGCAAACTATATAAGTCGATATGCATATATATATGTAAAGATAAAAATTTAACTGGAGACATTCTGACTTTCTACAAAGCACAGGCCAACAGAATTTGGTAATCAAAAATCAGAATATGCTTTTCTGAAAGTTTTTAAAGTATAGCCCCAAAAAGTTTTTCGAGTACATTTAAACTGCAACTCCCAGTCACAACCAATATTAGGAAAGCAAAGTTATTTCTTTCTGAAAGATCGAAAATTGAATATACGAGCAGCGCCAATTTACCCTCTGTCTCAGAAGATATCTTTGACAAATTACAAATTTGCAAGAAACCGAAACCCAGTATTAACTTAAGATATCGTATAAGGGTTTTTTGAAAAATCTCTTTTGATGCAACACGGAGACATTTCGAGAAGTATAAACTGAGGCAATCCAATTCCGTTGAGCTGTATATTTGTGAAAGTGTGTCACAGTCAATGAATATTATGTCGAAACAGCTCAAACTCCATTGGGCACTGTTTACGTGGCTAGGACGAAAACTAGAAGTTGGGGTTTTCCTTTTTAAATAAACAAAAAGACAACATATATGTATGTATACACGTGCATAAACTGAGCTGCTTTCTGTCGCAACGCAAATGGGCTTTAAAATCATTTTGAATACAAAGTACATCTGAATCAACGAAACTAACTTTAACTATGACTATGTGCATAAATCATGTTATGGGCTATAGCTATACTTTTACATACATATTTTACATACAGACATACATATACGACTATTTTTTAGAAACACTTGAATGCTATACATACCTACATACATACATTCATACATATACATATATGTTTTATCTCATATATAAGATATATTCATAAAATTGTAATTTAATTACAAAACGCTTAACCCAGATAGAAAACAAAGTACGAAAAACATAAGATTCAAACGGTACAAAACAAAAGTAAATAAGAGAAATGGAAACGTAACAAAATAGTTTATAAATGTTAAAAATTGTTCGCACACCTGAAGCACACACATAAAACATAAAAATAATATTGAATTTAGAAATGAGGAAACAAACTAACATAAATTTGAGCAAAAAATTAAATTAAAATTAAATTAAAATGTTAGTACAAGTACGTCAATATATATATATATGTATGTTAGACTGGAGCGATGGATTCGATAAAGTCAAAATGTAAAGATATTCCTAAACATACAAAACATATTTGAGAAATAAACATAATGTTAAAATTCAATGTTAAACCCCAGAGACGTTCAGCTTAATATTTACGATTTTGCTTTGAGTGTTGTCTACGCAGCTGTATTGGTGTGAAGTACGTGTGTGTACGATCACTGTTAAAAAAGTTGTGTTAGCACTACGTAGGTAACTGGCAATTCTGTTAGTGACGTCATGCTGTCATTTGTCCTCTGTTAAGAAATTTTAGTTTTTGGCGCGTATTGGAACAGAGCTCATGCAGTTGAGCTCAATTGGAACAAGAAGTCGGACTCTCAATCGCAAACTTACAAAACAGCTGTTAGCGCGCGTTTCTTCCCTATTTCTCTCTCTCTCTCGCTTTCTTTGTCTACCTCGCTCGCTTACTCACAAGCTAACAACTTACGATAAGCAAAGCTCAAGTGGTCGCATCATTCTGCTAGACAGTCCGTAGAAAAAACAACGCACATTATAGCCAGTTTAAAAGATAGAACAACAGCAGCTTAAGGACTTCAGTAAACAATTCAAGAAATTAAAAATTATAAGAGCAGGTAAGATTGTTGTGGAATTGTCGAGCAATATATAAAGTGATATTGTGTATTGTCTTTGTATTGTCTTTGTTCTTTCGGTGCTATTGATTAATGCTTTCACAGATATATACATGTATGTATATATTTATTTACATTAATGGAATAATGCATTTTGAATTGATAAGGCCTTGCCTTTAAAAATGTCGCATTTTCTTTGCACACTTCACAGTACGCATATTAAAGGCAACTGTTGTCCATTTTCTATACAGAACTCTGATCTTTTCCAGCTTTCACGAAAAAATGCAAATGCTACTGCTCTTAGTTGTTGCGTGCGTAGCTCTTAGCCAAACGCAGGCGTACTCGGCACTGCAAGATGCTCGGATTATAGCTGAGTATAAACGGCAGCTGGGACTTAATCATGCCAAGATCGCGCGTCAATTGGTCCATAGTGCCAACTGGGCATCTGTGGGCAGCATATCGACGAATCAAATTGTGAAAGATTATCCCATGGTTAACATCATATCTATTGACGACAATAGCCTGGAGGGCAAGTCTTCGGGTGTAATTCGTTTTCTGCTAACCGATTTGGATTTCACGGGCCCGGACTGGCAAAGCAATAACAAAGTGACTTTCATGTTTACGGATGAGCAGACGCTGCACTGCAAAAACGCCAACAAGGATCCAATGGAGCCTACCTGTGCGCGTGTTATAATCAGCGGTCAGGTTAAAAAGGTCTGTAACGATGAGCAGGCAATTGCTTGAAAGTACAACAAAATTCATATATATCCGATCTAACAGCTCCCACAGAATGAACCTAGCTACAAACCTGCCCTTAATATATTCATTAATCGTCATCCGGCAGCGGTTAACTGGATAAAAGGTATGCATCGAGGACTTGAATGAAAATTAAGTATCGATTTTTAAATATCTTTTTTATAGAACATAATTTCTACCTATGCGAACTGGACATAAAGAATATATTCGTGCTGGATTTCTATGGCGGACCACATCAGGTCAGCGCCTCGGACTATTATGCAATTCAAATTTAAGCATGGATTAACGCAGCTCTATATGTAAAGCGCATAAGTCTTTTGTCTACCATCCAAGAAAGCAATGTATATAATGATAAGCAAATGTATATAATCAACGAGCTTCCTCTTTCTCACTCATTCTCTTTATCTATCGGACTTTGCTTGTGATAAGGCTTAGCAAAATATTGACAAAAGTGGTTAAAAAGTGAATATATTTGTATAAAAGAGTACACTGTGCACGACTTTGTTTTCTATGAATTGCATCAGTCGCTCGAAAAGAAAACAAAAATGTTTACAATTTTGAATATATATTTTAGGTATTAATTTAATTTGTTTGTTTAATATAACCATTAGATTCGATATTTCTCATGTTCCAGAACATTACGCATGTGTGCCTGGCAACACGCAGAGGGTGGCATCTATTTTCTGTAACTGGGGAAGAATGTCGCGCAACTTGGAGCGATAGCGTACATCTGTTGCCACGGGATTGTGCTCCAAGTAGATGGTCTGCAAGGATTTGTTTATCTTGAGCACCTCGAGATTTTTCCAGTTGTCGATGCCATTGTCGTTTAACCAGATCTCTTCGAGTTGTTCGAGCGCTTCCAAGTTGCCAATGACCTTCAATCTGTTTTTGGCCAAATCTAGCGTGTCCAGGTTCTTGTTCTCGGACAGATTCTCAATAGTTTCAATGCCGTTCTCTGATATGTAAAGCTCCTTCAGATTGACCAGCTTATCCAGGTTCTCAATCTTAATAATACGATTCGCCTGCAGACTCAGTATCTCCAGGTTGACTAGCGTGTCGAGATTTTCAATTTTCCCTATTTTATTCTTGCCTAGAAACAGCTGACGAAGATTTACCAATGTCTCAATGTTCTCAATTTTCTTCAGCTTGTTGTCGCCCAGCTCCAGCATAGTTAGATTAGTTAACATACCGACATTCTCGATGACAGTTAGTTTGTTGGCCACAAAGTAGAGTTTTTCAAGTTTGAGCAGCTTGTCCAAGTTCTCGATTTTGGTCAGACGGTTGAAGCTGAGATCCAGTATTTCTAGGTTAACTAGCTTGTCTAGATTCTCAATTTTTGTAATCTGGTTGTCATACAGTTCCAGTTCCACAAGAGTTTTTAGCATATCGAGGTTTTCAATCTTTTTGATCAGGTTCCATCGCAGATACAATCGTTCGATCTGTTTCAACGGTTCGAAATTCTCGAGCTTATCGATGCGACGATGATTCAGATCCAGTTCGTAGCATTCGGGATCAATCATAACGATTTCTTCGATTGAAGCCACCAGCTCTCCTGGTATTATCTGCATGCCGGCTGTTGGCTTAGCTTCCCCACTCACCGGGATTGCATTGTCGCCGTCAGCCATACTCATAAGAATGCTTTACGTTTTCTTAATTATATTTACAAATTTAACAAATTATAAATGCCGCCTGGCCTGTTTGGTGATTTACTTGTTGGTTTTTTTGTCGAATTTTATTTAGTGTTGTAAAAGTGTACAAAAGATTGGCCAATCAGTGTGGCAAGGGATCTACTACGCTTGGTATGCAATTCATAATAGCGCATTTCTTATTTTACGTTGTGAATAACATTAATATAACGTGTTAGCTGCATTAAATGTTTAAATGTTTATCTTGTTTTTATAAAATATATTGAGGTTTAAATTAAATTGAATTGCAGCACTAGCAGTAACATTTATTATCGTTCCGCTTGTTATTGCCACCGTACTTGACGTTGTAGCCATTTTCTTGCTTATTAGCTGAACGGTATTCAGTGTTGAAAAACTTTAGAAAAAATGGTTAAAACAGTGTTGTAAGTGACTTACTTAGCTAGGTATGCGACTCATCACAGTTGTGATAAAATAATTTAATAGGATAGAGTATATATAAAATTTCTAATTATTTTATAATACTGTGTGAATCGTAATAAAATAAATGTGCATAGATTTTTTCTATAAATTTTTTTAAGTTGCAGTTAATTCCAATATCCACATCATCATTTGCCAGCGTACTAGTTTTAACAGCTGTTAATTGGTATTTTGCGCTTCAGAACGCGAGATAACGCGTGCTGAATTAATTTTAATTTTTAATTCTAATACATTTTGTGTTAAGATTGTAATGAAAATGTCGTGAAAGTCGAGTCCAATGGCAATTTGTGCTCACATTAACAACTCGTTAGATATTCTGTTATTATCAAGAAGGTGAACAAACAACATGTCGACGGGATTCAAATGCCGCAATTGCGGATCCAACGAGATCGAGGAGGATAATGCACGGGGCGATCGGGGTAAGGCCCTTCGACAAGATATAGCAATAAAGATATACAACTCCATAATTCTATGGTTTTAGTTTGCATGAACTGCGGCTCTGTGCTGGAGGATTCGCTAATTGTCTCCGAGGTGCAATTCGAAGAGATGGGCCATGGCGCCGCCGCGATTGGACAGTTCGTTTCTGCGGAGTCTTCTGGAGGTGCTACAAACTATGGCTATGGTAAATTCCAAGTTGGCTCCGGCACAGAGTCGCGTGAGGTTACAATCAAAAAGGCCAAGAAAGACATAACGCTCCTGTGCCAGCAGCTGCAGCTAACGCAACATTATGCAGACACTGCGCTCAATTTTTTTAAAATGGCCCTTCATCGTCATCTAACACGCGGCCGCAAAAGCACCCACATCTATGCGGCTTGCGTCTACATGACCTGTCGCACCGAGGGCACGTCCCGTAAGTGTATATAAATGTTATTATGGCTCATTCTGGAGAACTTATACAATCTCTGCTTGCAGACCTGCTAATCGACATAAGCGACGTACAACAGATTTGCTCGTACGAACTCGGTCGCACATATCTGAAGCTGTCACACGCTTTGTGCATCAACATACCATCCGTAGGTGAGTGTGAACTCGGGGTTTCGGTCGTTCTATTCCTATTAATCTGAAAAGACACGGTTCAGTTCAGTAACTATAGACCCCTGGGTAAAGGGCAGAGGAATTAAAGGGAAAGGCAATAAAAGGCTTGCCAGTAATTTGTAGATCCAAATAATAGTCCACTTGTTTCTTTAAAGATATTTAAATCCGAAAAATTCTAATAATATATTTTATTGAGTAATATTCGTAACACATAATTCATAGATTCATAAACAATATAGGATAACATTCGTCTTACGTATATTGTGTATAAAAAGTTCGTATTTTTCTTTAGAAAAACAAAAAAATCAGTACAATTTCCAAGGAATTAAATACGATTGTTGCGCCGTGCAGCTTAAAAAGATTCATGCAGATTCGATTATTTGGTATTAAAGGAAATGCTTTTATGAACGTTAATAAATCAACTTCATAATTGGGGTATGATTGGCTTGAAAAGATGCTTTTATATTACGTTTATAGAAACAATGCAACTACTACAAATGCACGCTACAAGAAAGACATAATTATAATTTTAGCGTATATAGTATGTATGTATGTCTGTGTGTGCTTTCGTTTGGCGATTTCTAATGCTAATTAAGTGTGCAAGTCAATGTATGTTTAACTTGGCTTTCAAATTCGTACGCATATTTTAACATGGCGTAATATACTCTTTCAAGTGTATATAGTGTATATATATGTTTAGTATATGCTGGCAAAAAATATTCTTGATATATAATATATATATATATAAATATATATATATTATTTTATTCTGCATTCAGTTGTTTCTTTAGAATATATTTAGTTATCATTAGCTTGACTGATTGCCCGTTGTTTACTTGCTTATTGAAGATGCCTTCGATTACCTTATCTGCTTGCTTCGCAATGTTTCTTGGAACGTATATAGTATTTTAGTTATAGGTTTGGGTGTATATGCTCAACTTTTGCGGGTTTACGTTATCGAAATTTAAAATAGTTTTTGTATGCATTTACCAACAGACTTTATATATGTGTGTTTGTAGGTTTGTTTTCGCTTTGTTTTGTTTGTATATATGGGTGTATATGTATGTATGTACTACGATAACTAGAGCACTCTACTGTATTGTGTTTTTATAAGTGTGTATATAATAACTACATATATGTATATATATATATATATATATCTATATATATGATGCTAATATCGAATTCCTTAAAACTCCAATTTGCTTTGTTGTGTTGCACTGAAAACCCATGAGTTTCGATTTTGTGTTTGTTGCTGTTGAATCTGTGTTGGTCTCTTCGGTTGTTGATGCTGCTGCAGCATCTGCTGTGGCTGCTGGCGATAATAACAGGCACCCTGCCATTCCGCGCAGTATAGCTGTGCGCATCAGGTGTTGCTGCCATCGCTGCTGGCGGTACTGCTACCAACTGGCAGCTCATCAGCAGCATTGTTAACATTGTTGTTTCCATTGGTTGTTCCGTTGCTGCCATTTGTAATAGCCGACGTTGCTCCTATGGGCGTGGCGCAAACTGAGCTTGTAGGCGAGTTTAGAGCTGTGACTACTGTGGGTCCGTAAAAGATTAGTTCGGGTATCTGGCCTCCTTGTACGCCTGTGCCGTTGGTGCTCTCTGACGAACATTGAAATTGGAATGTAACATTGCCCATGAGCACCTCCGACATGCCCTCCTGCCCAAAAAAGCTTAGCTCGTTGCCATCCAGTATTACTGAGGCGGTGTAATGACACTCTGGCTCTATCTGTATGGGATTCTCGAAGAATACGTGGAAAGTGTTACTTGAGCCATCTGAAAAGAATTTTGTGTCGTTCTCCGCTAGCGTGCGGCCCAACCGCTTCAGCTCAATCTTTACATTGTAGTTAGCTGCACCCGTCGAGGAGCCATAAAGGCCAAAGCCCACAATGAATATCCTATATATAGTCAGATGAGATATATGTAAATAGATATGTAATAGATAATAGATCTTATCCTTTTGATTTACTTACCTGCGATCTACTGAGAACTGTATGGAATCACAGCGGCCCCGATAACGCCACTGGTTGGATCGATAGGCGCACGATTGAAAGCGATGGCAAACTTGAGTTTTGAGGCCTGCACGCGGTCGCGTGGGAAAGCTGAGTGTTGGCTTGACTTTTGCAGTAAAATGCAAGAACATATCAATTGTCTCCTGAGATGTGAGTATGCCCGTTTGGGCAACGCCATTTGCAAATTCTTCCAGTGTCATCGTCGGTATGCGTATCAGATGCAGTGCCTGACCTAGAACTCGGCGCTTATTTGGCGACGTTTCGTCAATGCTCATCTTTTCACAGGCATTCATGGCCCAATTGAGCGCCGCTTCAAATAGGTGAATCTCCTTACAGTTTAGTGTCTCGCGTGACAATATCGATTCGAAAGTTTTCAGGTCAATGTCCACAAAGTCTTCGGACTTAACCGCCATCTCGGCCTGGGCATCTATTACTTCCCAGCAACGTTGCATCAGTTCGGGCTCCTCGAAAAGACGCGATTGACTGAGAAGTAGGCATGCGTTTTTTGCCGTCAACTTTACTTCAAGATAGTTGACGCAGGCTCGCGCCAAATGTGGTACAATATACTTCTTGGCTGCATACAATGTCGCTAGTATATGTTCAGGTTCCAGTTTAATTTCATCACAATAGAGATACCTGAGCAGATACGTAATGTGAGGCGTTTAAAATTGGTCAATATATTAGCCTTGATTGGGTCTCACCTTAACAGCGTTAAGAACGCTGTGGGCTCTACATCGGGCACCTTTATTTCCTGCTTGTTCTCCGCTAATCCGCCGTAAAACATGGCATAGAATACAGAGCTGCCCGTGGCGAGTATGTACTTGTGTGCGGGTATGGTTTGAATGGGATCAAAATCTATTTAATTTGTAAAGCATTAGAATAAATTAAATTAGTGTCTCTTATGTGTGGTCAGGTTTAACCCACCGAACTCGCTGCCCACGATAAACTTGACATCCGACAGTAGTTCATTGTTAAACATTGCAGCATTGCGCTCCAGCACGGTTGCCTTGCTGGCCTGCCAGTTCGGATCGGCCGTGTCAATTGCATTCGAGGCGCCTACGGCGGCATAGCTGCTATTGCTGCCAGCTGCACAGACATACGATCCGCTGCCACTGCTGGGCGTTGACGTTGCGTTTGCTGCGTTGGCTGCAGCCGCTGCTGAGGCAATGGCCGCAGCTGTCGCTGAACTGGATGGCAAACAAAATGTGGTGGGACTGCTTCCGCTGTTGCTATTGAGTGCTCCAGGTGAAGCCAACGGCGAAGATGGTGCACTTATCGGCTGTGTTATTTGTATATTGTGATCCGCGGCGCTGCTTGAACCTGGACCTGGAGATGTGACTGCAACCCCACGTTGCTGTTGCTGTTGTTGCTGCTGATGATTGTGCGGAGGCGAGTGCAAGAGACCATTGCCATTGTTAAGCGTCTCCACTGCAATAGGAATTGTTAAAAATTATTTAGAATATAGTCTTAGTAATTATATCTAAACCATGGCCAACCGAACACCGCCAGCTTCTGCACAATTCGCTGCAGCATTTGGCAACTGTCAAACGCCGCGGCCTCACTTCCACGACTGTGTTAGCAATCATCGGTGGCCCCATTCGTCGTGGCTGCAACAGCTGCGGCCCCCTTCTATAACGTTCCCCCATCTCAAATGCGATCGTTGTGTGGAGCGTCCAAAAATAGAGGCGCTGCTGTTGCTGCTAAATCTGCAGCTCGCGACTTTTAGCACGGACCCCAAAATCCGCTTTTGCTGTTGTGTCTCTTTGATATTAATAATACTATGCGCTTGCATATATGTGTATGTGTGTGTGTGTGAATTACTGATCAGAGCTTATTATAAAATTTTCACTTGCTGGCTTTTCACATGTCAAAACTATGTGTATGACGACTAGACAAATAATAAAAATAAACAAAACCCACCTTCCCCTTCTTCATCCTTCTGCTAATCAACTGTCATGTACATACCACACAGTCGTCGCTTGCTTTGTGGAAAATCGATACCACACACACATACAGACACATACGTAGACAAGACGCACCTGCTATTTTGTTATTTGCATGCAATTTTCTTACCATTAATCCAGCCACCGTTAAGTTGAGAATGTGACATGGATTCCTGATTGCGTTTGTTACTCGATTTCAATGAGAATCGATTCAATGCACTGTTATTGCTGCTATTATTGCTATTATTATGGCTATGGCTGCTGCTGCTGCTGCTACTGGCCATGACTACGTTTTGTGTTTGTATTGAGTGTACAGCAGTCAGAGTGGAAAATTTGGAGAGCTATGCAAAACAATTTGTTCGGCAATTACTTTATGTGGCCACTATGTTTTTACTCTTTCGATTAAGTGCATTCAATTTAATTTTATTTAACTGACGACATTATAAGTGCCATTTCAAAAATTAAAATAATCTGCGTATATTGGCTTGAAATAACTTGTCGCAGCAGTCGGCAGATAAGAAAAAAATCGATAACAAGTGGCGGTCGGACGATATGCAATCCACACACAACATCCACAACAGCGATGCATTTTGATGATACCATTTGATATAGCCACCAGCTTTTGGTCATCTGTGTAAGCGCGTGTTTTGAATTTGAATTAGCTGAATTTTAATTTACTTCGGATTTACGTCAGTTTCGCAAGCGCTTTGGGCCGCAATTCATTGATTATATCATGGTCGCGGTTAATATGTATTTCCGTCATGCCAATATGAAACGCCGACCGCGCATTCGCGCACTTGCTTCTATCGCATAAAAAATAGTCAATGCGTACGTGAGCCTCAAATATTACCACAACCTTGTGCAGCAGCTGAGGCAGCATCATGTACAAATTAGTCCATGCTTTTAGCTTTTAAACTTGACTCATATTTTTTTGTGTTTGAACACAGCTATTGATTATGGCTAGGCTGCGCATATTTAATATGACCACCAAAAATTTGAACTTGAAATCGATTTGGTTGTCGGAGTTTGGTCATCGTTGCTGTCGTTGCTGAAGGTTTGTCGATTTCTTAGCATACTAAATATAAAACACGCACACAGATCTTTACAAATCAAACGCACACACAAGCATACACAAAAACTAGTTTTGCTTCTTTGCCGTCGCTGAGTTTGAGCCATGAAAACAAACAACAAAAAATGTTGTTGACCTTTGCGTTAACGAAAATTCAATTCGGCTTTTCCTACAATTTTCTCCCATCTGCTGAATACTTACTGTTCGGTTGGCGCTGCTGCTCTTGTTGTTGTTGGGGCTCGGGCGGCGGCATTTCCTCGTTTTCCGGAACGCGGGCAGCGTATTCCGGCTCATAGTTGTGCGCATAGGCGCTGCCCCAATGGCCGGCAAAGTCGTCCTCTTCGAGCGTAAGCAGATGATCCAGCACCTGCACGCCGCGTTCGAGGGGACCGTGAAATTTATTAATTAGCTCGGAGAGACGCAGATTGAGGCCGTAACTGGCGCCGATGACGCCACTTGGCGTCCTCGTGTCGATCGCCCAATAAAATAGATGACGTCCCAGATGACTGCTCAGATGGTTTGCAAAGGCCTCGATCATCTTTCTCTTCGCATCATCTCAGCCCCATTTGGCATGTTTACAAAATGCACAGCTGCCTGTTCCCGACTCTGGCACTGCAATCGATCAAAAACAAAAGCTCGAGGTTATATAATATAGTCTTACAGTCATTGAACTCTCTCTCTCTCTCTCTCTCTCTCTCTGCTCATCTAACATTGCCTGTTTCGCTAACCCCGAATCTCGATTTACACTTTCACTTCCACTTCCACTTGCACTTGCCATTTTCATGTCTATTTCCACACGCATTTTACGGCTTTTGGATTAGCTACAGGAAGTCGTTGAAATTTGGCTCGGCCTTGGCATTTTTGTTGTTGTTGCTGCTGTTGCTCTTATGGTCTCAGGTAATGCGATCTCCTCGCATTTGCTTTCTTTTTCCCAGGTATTTCTCAGGCAGAATCCACACCTGTCGTCGGCTTGCTTTTCGAGATGCCAACGCAAATTACGCAAGCAGCGACTTTTAATTGGCAGCAAAACGAAGTCCGTAGCCAAAACAAAACTGCGACACACACACACACACACACACTGGACAGCAAATTTTGTGGTGTCATGCCATGCTTTGGGGCCGTCAGCAGCGCGACGCTTCACAATCAACGAACAGCAACGCCCCCTTGGCTCAGATATAACAAATTATTTGTTGGCCACCTCATGGAATATTTGGCAAGCGATTATTTCCGGGACGACTGGTTGAACATGCACATATACATATATATAATTTGCTAATCTGGTTTAGTTAAATGAAACAATTGAATCAAGTTCAGAGAACAAGTCGAAAATCTTGTAGACTTCGTTTTTAATTAATGTGCCAAAAATCGAAAATAGATTCATGAATCCAGCTCAATTTCACTTAATGTATCTCATATCTAAAGTTAACACATATATAAAGCAGCAGCAAGATATCAAAGTAGCTTTTGATACATTATCTTTTGCATGACACATAATACCCGCCTTCAGCAGTTGCTCAAGGCTACAGGGTAGAATGAAATCGGATTAATTCATTTCTTATGTACATCTATATACACTTGTAGTATAAGAATGTATGTTACCACATATATATATATATAAATATATATGTATATTATATAATTATGCCAGAAATGCTAAATGCATCGCACAGCATTTGATAGCAAAGTCACGTTTATTATTCATCAGATGTAGGCTTTTTTTACCTTTAAAAAATGCAGGTCTTATAGGTAGTATACGAAATGCGGAACGTGTGGAAGAGTCGCGGGGTCGACTCGAAGATCAAGTTATCTTATTTTGTATCGTTATCTAAATTAAGTAAGCCCCTCGCCCTGTTTCTATGGCAACTTATTGAGAGGCTGCGCTGCATCTTATATGGAGCGAATCGGATCACTAGTCTTACAAATAGCTACGCTGCCCAAATAAGCGGAGGACATACAATTTCAGTTTCCATATGAAAAATGTTTAGTTGTTTAATGAATCTTGGCATATCTTAAAATTCTCTTTTCTTTCTGTTTGCCCATTGAAAATGAGGAATTCTGGGTATATTGGCTTTGTGAAAATGTAGGTGAATGAGGCTTGCCAGACTCCATGAAATATTTATATCCCTAGATCAGGACGAGCTGAACCGTGCTAGCCATGTTCGTCCGTCCATCTGAACGTTCGTCCGTATGAATTCAGCGGTCACGAAAACTACTCAATCGAGAGACTTGAAAGTATGTATACCATGTGCAGTATGCATGCCTAGTAGTTTTTTCGATCGCTCATCCGATTTTCTTATCGATAAAAATCGATAAATTTGAATTTGCTTTTAAGCGTACATAGAGACTTGCGCTTTGGCATATGAATGTCATTATCATGCTCTAAAAATTGAAAATACGTATAGAATAAAAGTTATTCACTAATTAATTTCTCATAGTAAAGCCCTTAGTGCAGCCTAAGCCCAGTCATTGCGTGAACTGTAAAGTGTGTAAGCATCTTCTGTTGTTAACAAATTATGTAAAAAATAAGCGTAGAATGATTAGAATATCAAATACTCGCAGGGTTGCGGATATCTCCTAGTCGAGTAGTCTCGATTAGGCATTCTTATTCTTACTTTAATGCTTTAAATGCTATACAAAATCTGAAATCTGAATCTGAAAAAATCTAGTTCGGTCAGATATAAGGATATTTTATTTTGTAAATCTAAAAGTTCAATTCCTTATCAAAAGCAAAACAAAAACCAGCAAAAGTATTACCTTATACAAGGAGATCATATTAAACTTATGCTAATGTGAAGTAAAACGAAACCCTTAAGGAACTTAAACATGTGTTTGAAGAAGGAAAACTTTCAATGAGTCTCTAGGGTATCTGTACGTCTGTATAGTCGCCCTAGATTCGTCTTCTTCTTCGCCTTTGATTTGTTTTGGCTGATTGTTTATGTACATTTCAGATCTTGCATTAGTTAATTTTGTTGCTGTTGTGTTCCGCCTTGGCTTTTGCAGTTTGTAAGCGCATTTGAAATTGGCGCTTGCATTAACTTTTGCGCGCCCTTTTCTTAATTTATGTATTTCGTTGGCTCAGTTTGCTTGGAGCGCGTCGGTTTCATTAAAATTTTTCATTGCTTCTTTAATTGCGAGTGTCGACCCACTTTGACCAAGTCGGGTCAGACCACAAGCGACCCATAGACGGACGGACGGACAGAGAGACAATCGGACGACGACAGACCCAGACCCCAAAGAGACCCCAAAGCAACGCCCGCGTAACACTTTCGATTTTTATTTCCTCATTACACGCGCAAACTGCAAAACAAAAGAAAAGAAAAAAACAACAACAATATAAGTATATATAAATATATATATATATTTATATATATATAAGTTAAGAAAAAAGTGAAGACTCGACTTTTTTGTGGCTTAGTTGCGTTGGTTTTCCCTTTGTCTTGCGAGCCACTTTGAATAAATATATCTTATTGCACTTTCATGTTCCAGCACAAATTGTGCAATCGCCACGCATTTGCTGATTGGCAAATTATAATAGAGAGCAGCGATTCGAATTACCTGACCAAATCAGCTATGTATTGATACACAGTGCAAAGTGCTTGGCCTCCAATCTAAGCCATCGCAGTGCCACAGGTGAGCAGCAAGCCGTTCGCTCACGTGGCTGCTGATTTGACGATTTTGCAGTTTAATTATGAGAACTTGTCAGATCGTTGAGTTATGAGCGATGCTTTAAGGCTCCCAGAACAAAGCTGTTAATAATGTTCGAGTTGTTACTTATTAAATTTATATATATATATAGAATATATTTTAATGTCATAACTAAGTTTGAAGTTGCCGGTTATATTTATTTATTGGCAACTGAAGCAAAATTTCAAAAATTTAAATTTCAA